TCATTGGTCGTTTAGCATATTCCACTAGTGTAGTATTATCATATACAACACCAGTTCCAGTACACTGTACAGTAACTGTAGCATTCTCAGGAGCTTCACCAGTACACTCGAGTGTAATCTATAATAACATTTTGAATTTTGATAATAATGAAACACTGATAAAAGATTATTACTGGTATATTGAAGAAAGCATTAGCACTAGTCTCAATAAATGTTATCTCAAGTATATCTGAAGCATCTTCAACTGATCTTGGTACTAAATAAACATAAAATCATTTATTCAGTGATTATTGTTTATTGTACCTCTTTGATATGAGAATGTATCATTATTAGATATTCCTTCTCCTAATTCATTAACTCCAGTTATAACATATGTATAGCGATGCCGAAATAAATCACCACCTATAAACTGATGAGTGGTGGTATCATCTACTGCTACACTCCTCAAGAACTGATCAGTTATGTCATCATATATACTCAAATTATAGAACAGTATAGATACTCTATTATCAACTGTAGGAGCAGTCCATGTTATATCAATAGTAGAACAGTTGTCAATTGAAGAGTCAATGTTAGTAACTGGACCAAGATAATCTAATAGTTTGAAAAGGGGTTTAAATTTATATTATGTATAATAGTTTATTACCAAATCCAAAAGAAGGTATTGGTAACAATTCTCCTCCAAGGTTACTGAATGATACATTAACAATAAATGCATTTAAATTATTAGGTACAGTAAATACTCCAGTAATCATCAGTTGATCATTAACTTGTGTTGATATACTGGTATTGTTTAGTATTGCATTATCAGTATTCAGTATACTAACTGTTATACTATTAGGATACTCTCCTTTACATAGTGTACTGACCTATGAGTTAATGAGTGAGTGTGTGTGGGAATAAGGTGAACTGAAGTTATGTCAACAATAATCATTTGCTATGTAAGCATTTCCTGTTAGTCAACTCATTGTGTGATGAGCTTATGGTGAATATACTTACATCAATACTGATATTCAATGATATTAGTTGTCCATCAATTACTGGTACCACTGATACAGGAGGAGTAATGAGAGGAACTGAAAGATACACTGTGAACATATACATGAAGCCATAGCAATGCTAACCTGTTTCATAATAAAAACTGATACTATTAGACGAACCTATTCCAGCATCATTAATAGGAGAAACTGATACATTATTTAATCTACAAGGATCAGGATTAGTAGCTGATAATATAATACTCTTGTTAGTAGTAGTAATGTTCACTAATCCATTGACTATATAATATCCAGTGATAGGTACATTATCCAGTGTATAAGGAGCTGTCCATGTTAATAATATACTGGATCCATTAATAAAGGTATAATCCAGATCAACAACACTATCTAATAGACCTAAAGAAGTGACTAATGACACAATTAAACTGATACATTACTATACCTTGTATTGTTAGTGTAGCATTGCCACTCCTTATATTATCAGGAGAAGCAAAGCAATACACACAAGTATTATTATTGATTTCTCTTGCATGAACTGATAGCTGTCTTCTTCTTATAGTTCCATTAATGGTTTCTTGGGCTATTTCTTCAAATCTTCTGTTAGCATTGGTATCTTGAGATGCTGGTGCTTCATTAACAATAAAGAATATGAAAGAAACCCCAATTGCTTCACAAGTAAAGGTCACAGTTGAATTAAGACTTGTATTCAATGATACTGGTTGAGTTATGAATTCTAGAAATATAAAGTATTAGAGTGAAATTGCCCAGCATCCCACAGGAGGCCTTATTTTGACTGAGGGTCAGAAGGAGGTAAATTTACAAAAGGTTTTCTGTTCTATAAACATGCATGCATACAGTCATACAGTACTGAAAGGTTACAATTGAAAACCCATGTTAGGCCAATGGCCACTGCTTAGAATGTACCCACCCAATAAATACCCATGCATCCATCTTAAAGTTAAGTCCGAAACAAGATTTTTTAATAGTCTGAGCCCTCTGTGGGTGAGGCTAATGATATAAAAAACACATACAGCAATGCAATGATTGTTTTAGTGTACATGCTTAGCTACAGCAGGCAGCTAAAAGCATAAGTATGCTCATAACAGTATAATATGGCTAATAAAAACAAGGGTTGTTAGGGGGTGCATTGGTTGGATTAAGTGGGACCTGATTGACCAAGATGCACCCACTAACTGAGTCAATAATAATTTGTCTATAAAATAATAGCAAAGCACCCATTAGATCTATGCTAGAGTAGCCTGCTCTCATGCACCCACAATTTTCTGATGCTATAGAAACGCCCATCAATTCATGGTTTACGATATAAAAAAACAGAATAGTACAGAGGGTTGCTTTTTAAAAAGATTATAACATACCTGCCTCGGTACAAATTGAAGAAAGAATGACTAAATATAGCGAAACACACAAGAAAGAACGACACAACTGCAGCAACATTTTCGTTGTTGTTGGCTCAGATTAGCCACGCCCTATAATGGATGGATTTCCGATTTTTGTAAGGATTCTAATTAATGTGCACCAGAAATGGTGGTAATTTCTGGTAAAATCAAAATGGCGGATTGTTGGAGGAAAGACAGGCTGAACAATCTTCTCTTTTATCCAGCCATTCTAGCTCTGAGAACCACTTTGAGCTGTCCTTTTGTTTCAGTATACTCTATTTATTTCTTCTGTAAGCTTTTTAGTTGCTGCTTTGGCTTTTATAGCATTTTATCATAGGAATATTCTCACCCATTGGCCATTCCCCTTTTTCTAAATTTTGCTTTCAGCATAGACCTGGCTCAAGTGGCCTAGCTCAGTCCAGTAAACTTGGCCTTCCACCACCTTCCACATTGGCTACAACAAGCATTTCAGTGTTTTAGAGAATACTACATTGATCAAGTAAGTGTCTAACATCTTCTCCTCAGCCCAAACGCAGCCGTCCG